AAAGTGCACGACAAGGTAATCGTGATCTAGGAATTACAGGTGTCTCTCTTTCTCCTCGCGATCTGATTGCTACAAAATTACGGGAAAATTGTGACGAATAGAAAACGAATGAAACCTGAGCAAGATGTGACGGAATTCGGAAATACAAGAAACCGTAGCTTTTTTTCAACGCTAATTCGGTGGAGAGTGCACCACTTGTAAGACAATTGCGCTCTGGGGATTATTAATTTTGTTACTTTCAGTCGAGGACCTTTCAGTTTTATCTCACGGCAGTCGACGCCGCGCTCGTGATTCATGCAAAATGTCACATTGACAATATTATCTTGCGTCACATATATTCATGAAATTCGAGGACGCCGATAGATCGAGGCTACGCGCAGCAGCTTGTATATAAAGCATCCGTCAGTTATATATTCGATAATGTCGATGACCCAGTTATTCGTTGCACCATTACGACCGTGATGTCATTCGCTGCCCGAATATCAGATACCAAACGCGATTAGCAGAGATCGCGGAGTTGAGCTCAGCGTCTATCAAAAGTTCGCTTCAAACACGAAGAGTCTTGGATTTTACTAAATTATTTCCGACCGCGAGATGTTGTGAGATTCTTTATTGTTAAGGGAATCTCTAGCGTTCGCTACGATTCCGGAGCTTCATCTACAATGTGCTCTTTGCGCTTAGCAACATTCTATTTCGTATAAGCGTATCAATACGCTTAAAAAATATGTCGACAATGTGCGATTTATCAATTTGCACAAACTTTTCAAACGTATCTCGCCGACGAAAACAGAATGTTTCTAGACGCAAAGAGCGCATTGTAGACGAGGCTCGAGTCAGAGAAATTATCTAGAGACGTACACCCACAGAAAAAATTTCCGCATCCAATGCTATTACACTTGAATATATCATAAAATAGGCTCGATATAGCGCCAATCATATTTATTATAGAGAAAGGAATATTTTAATCTTAAATGAAAAATACGAAAATCTAGAATCTTCATTTGTCGACTACACGGAAAAAACAATGTAGCTGCTGTAGCTAAAACTTAGCAAAATAGGGACAGCTAATATTTTAGTTGTGATAGCTCAATATTTTGCTACTGTGCCTATTGTATTAGGTGCGACAGCAAACGGTTTGCTGTCGTAGCAAAATATTGAGCTATCACAACTAAAAATATTAGCTGTCCCTATTTTGCTAAGTTTTAGCTACAGCAGCTACATTGTTCTTTCCGTGTATCGCGGTGCCAACTTGGGAAGATTTATTCTAAACGCAAGAACAACGACAAGTTACTCTTGTCTCAATATAGTGAGCCAATCTCTTTTAATTCCATAGAGGAGAATAAGAATTATTGATTTTATTTTGATACTGTCTTATTTTTATACTAAATGAGGTGGCGATAAATGTAAATGCGTCAAGAATATTTTTTGTCTCGGTAGCAGAAATCCTTTCTGAGGGTGTTAAGATCCTCTTGGATCACGGAGATTCATGGGTTTCAGTAGTTTCGCGCTTGCTACGGTCTTCGGAACCTCTCGCGAGTCGGAATACGCAGCTTGCGGCACGCACAGTAGATAAAGCACGCCCCGCGTTTCTCCCTCCAGATGCGGCCTGGTGCACGTCGAGCCCGACGTTTTTCGCATGCTACCGCGACTGGAGACCCTGGACTTGCGCGACAATGACCTCGATTGTCTGTCGGTGGAGGAGCTGTCGCATCTGACCGCGCTCAGGACCGTGCGCATCGACGGCAACCCGTGGCTGTGCGAGTGCCGGCTGAGGATGGAGAGGTTCTTCCGCGAGAGGTCGATCGTCCAGGAGATAGAGTGCAGATTTCGGCCGCGGGTCTGCACCGTGCACCGAAATCCGCAGTGCATGGCGCAGATCGAGATCCCGCTTCCACCACCGGCGATTACCGTCGAGCCGATGGAGGACTTCCAGGTAAAGCGATTGCTTATAATTTACTCTCTAATCGATTTGCAGTCAACGGTATACTTGTCAATGCGACTTGCAGCGGTGTACATACTTATATAAACTGCAAAGCAGCGACTATTCACTGTTTTCAGTGATAATCCACTTATTGACTTTTATAAATAAAAGGGGTGTACGGGTGGTCTCAGACATCCTGTATAAGTCAGTTGAAACGTCGCCGGGGATCTTTGGCTCACCGACGCCGAGAGCAATGGGAAGATTAATGTTTCAGATCAATTCTCGAATTGAATCGGGAACTTGAGATCTTGGCGAGGGCGTCACAAAAATATCGCCGAGCTTTCTAAATATATTGTCCGTCTCGCGCGCGATCTGGGATAAGCTGCAGCCGCATCCAAGCGCCGATAGTGCCGATATACCGGCAGTAAGACAATACGGGGCTCGAGTGGAGGCTGACGTTGTTTTTTTTTCCAAGTATCGCGTTTCAGGGAGTCGCACTTGCGGACCTCGGGACGGGACAGAAACGCCTCGATCATAATTGCGTGCCCGATAACATCGCACAATGTTATCCCGCGGGCGTATCTCGCCGCGCTGCGATTTCTATCGCCTAAAAAGCCGGGGGACGCCTTATCCGGCGCGTATCACGGGTGAAAGTCGAAATTCAATGCCAACGTTCGCGCGCGATAGTTAATTAAGGATGTAATTGCGCGTCTAACGACCGCGTTATAATGTCGTTACTCTCGGCGCTTTTACTCCTGGCATTATCATGCAAAGGAAAACCGGGCGAGCAATTAATACAATTTAACGGGGAACGTAACGAGACACCATAAACGAGTTGTAAACCGGCGGCATTTCATAAGAAGTAATCGGAATCTTTCGTGGCGCAAAAAAATTCCGCTCTCGTTAAATCGAGGCATATCCTTCATATAATCGCACTTAAATCGGCGCAATTGAATCGGTCAGAGCAGAAAGAGTACGCGTGACAAAATCACAGAGTTTTCCCCCCTTATTACGAGATAGATTTCTAATGAGAGAGTAGGTTTATAGGGTTGGGAAAGTTACTTTATAAAAATATCCAGTTGCGATTACAGTTTTCTCGCTAAAAAATAGTTACAAGTTACCAGTTCTGAAGAGTAACGCGTTACAGTTACTCTGCAGTTACTTTCTTGCAATAAAAATATCAAATCTGCATCTTCGAATTGTGAAGCGTCGCTAAAGGCGTTTATGCGCAAATGCAAGGCCCAATGCGATCCGTGGAGGTTCAAAAAAGTATATGAAGTAACTATTAATGTAACTGAGTTGAGTTACAGTTACAGATGGAAAGAAAGTAACGAAGTTAAGTTAGAGTTACCAAAAAGGTAGCTATAACTGTAACTTCGTTACAAGTAACGAGTTACTTCCCAACCCCGTAGGTTTTTAACACCCAAATTCAATCACGAATCTTTTTACACAATTACGCAATCGAAAAGTCCCTTAAAGCCCGTATCAGACTACGGACTGAGATTGGGATTAGATTGAAATTTGACCAATCACAGTAAAGTTTACTAATCTCATGTTTAGTAACTTTTACTCCATTTGGTTTCAAATTTCAATCTAATCTCAATCTCAGTCCGTAGTCTGATACGGGCTTAGGGGTGGCTGGAGTGATTCTACACTTTTGGTACCCTTTGCTCCTAGAAGATTAGGTAAACTGTAACTTATTCAAGTGAATAGACTTCTTGTCAAGCTCCTAAACTTAATTTCAATGATACCATGCTGTTCTTTCACTTAATCTGAATAGTGGGACACTGTCGGTCTATACACAAAAGCCACATAATTTGTCTATTATACAAATGTTTTCACGAATTGACAGTTCTAGGAGCAAAAGGTGCCAAAAGTGCAGAGTCACTCCGGCACACCCTTAAGTTTTCACTTAAAAACATTTTTTTCGCCAGATACGCCTATGTTAGAGTAAGGATCCATTGTCAATCTCAGCCAAAATGTCACATCCTCTCTTTCTGGTCTCACTGTTATTCTAATCCTCGTCTTCTTCGTCGGCCGCTTCAATTTCCCGCCATGAAAAAGTCCCAAGCATCCGTCGCCGTGATCGCGAACCCGGCAATTTCGAGAGACGGCTCAGGTATAAAATCTTATTAAGACAAAGAGAAAAGTAGGAAACCGTTGACCAAAATCGTGTACACCAATGCCTACTAGTGCCCAGTGGGCGTCACTTAATTTTATTATCTTATTGTATCTTCATAATGCCCCAGCAAGGCCCAATGTCCAAACTAATGCCCAAAAAATGCCTAGTGATGCCAGAAGACTTGTTTTCTGTTGCTGCACTGGTGAACTGGTGCAATAAATTAGACTAAGACAAGTATATTTTTCTCATTCTAGTTCACTGCACTAGTTCACCAGTGCAGCGACAGAAAACAGGCCTATAGTGTAACAAGCAGGTCCACTCAGTCATTTGTGTCGTTTTGAGTCGATCCCTTTTGCGCATCCGACATTGGACTGGACTGGTCAATGAGAGAGAAAAGTTGCATGTGCGGTAGTGTGGCTTTGACGAGTACGTGTACACACACACGCCGCTGGATCCTGCCCGGGTGTATGGCGGAATACCACGTGATTGGGAGCGCAAAGATCAAAGGAGCCGGCGGAGAGTGGACCTGCAAGTTATACTACGATAATGCCCAGCAAACCGCAAATCTGTACACCACAATGCCCTCAGCGGTTTACCCCTCGGGTGCTACAGAAGATCTCACGCTCGCCTCGAAAGAGACGATACAATTTTACGCTATACTTTTCGCTGGCGCGTCGACAATGCCCCGAGTATATTTTACTCGCTACTCGTCGGTGGAAATTGCCGCTGTCGCGCCCGGCGACGTCCCTTCACCGGGGAAATATTCAACAAACAAACTCACCCTATCGGCGGACGGAGGAGCCGCGCTCTCCCCAGCGCAACCGCGCGCGACCCTCGCGCATCGTCCGGGATCCCCTCGGGCGTCGCTGTTTCCCTTGGACGGCTCCTTCCGGGCGCCGGCGTTGGTGGCGGCGACGCGCGGCCTCGCCTCGCGGACGCCGAAAACCGCGCGCGCAAACATGCCGACGACACGCGGGCGGGGAAACGTCCGCGCTCGAGCGACGACGGCGACGGCGACGGCGGCGCGCGCGCAGATCCGCTCCGGTGAAAACCGCGCGCGACATATGGCGGACGGGCGCGCGGGTCACGTGATCCGCGCGACGCGATTGTTCGCGGTCGCCGGGCCTCCTTCCGGTCCTGGCGGGGAGGCGGGGCAGGCGGGGCTATTGCCGGGCCGAGACACGCGATTCTCGAGCGGCGGGCGACGAGCGTCTCGATCGACGCTAGCGCGGGAGGGCGATCCGGCGCGAGCGAGACTCGCGCGAGCCGCCGGGGTCACGTGACTCCCGGGGCTATTGCCCCGATTGGCTCGCCGCGGGACTGACGAAAAATCGCACGCGCGCGCCGATACGAGTCGCGTAGGAAGCGAAGGTTAGCGCGCTATCGCCAATACGATTGCCGTGATTAGCCCGCCTCCGCTCCGCGCAGCTTGCAAAGATCCGCCCGGGCAGCGTCCCCGCGCGAGCGGGACGCGACGCGACCGACACCGCGCGTACGGGAATACCGGCGACCGGGATCGCGGCACACGAGCGATTGGAAAAGAAAACTACGCGAACTGCGGACGTGGGACCGACGCGAGACCAGCGGGACACGCTCACCTCCTCCGTCGCGATCGCGCAGGAGAGATATCTTATCTCGCTCTCTTTCTGTCGCGCAGGAACGTCCCGGCAACCGCTTCCAGACGAGCGCGCTGACGTCGCTGGACCGCCTGCCGGACAGGACGACGTGGATCCAGATCTCGGGGCTGCGGATCGACCGTCTGCCCGCGTACGCGTTCTTCCGCTTCGGCAACAGCCTGCGCAGCCTGGACCTGCACGATTGCTCGATCGGCACGATCGAGCCGGGCGCGTTCGCCGGTCTGCATCAGCTGCAACGGCTCACGCTCGTCGGCAACCGGCTGCCCGCGGTCGCCGCCCATTGGTTCGGCGATCTCGTAGCGCTCCGCCAATTGGTGCTCGCGCGCAACGGCATCGAGCGCGTCGAGGCGGGCGCGCTGCGCCCGCTCGCCGGCAGCCTGCGCCACCTGGACGTGCGGCACAATCAACTACGTTGCATGCCGCCGGACGAGCTGGCGCACCTGCGGCGCCTCGAGCGGGTCGATATCGTCGGTAACCCCTGGTACTGCGAGTGCCGTCGGAATCTGCAGCGATACCTGACCGACCACAACGTGGGATTCGAGATCACCGGCCGTTGCTACGACGAGGGCGAGGTCGTCGAGCCGACCGACGGATGGCAGCACCCGCATGTGAGTGGCGGCGAGGGGAGAAAATCCTGAACGTATCGAATCCGAGAGAGCGCGGGAGTACTTCACCCTCGAGTGACGAATTCTTTAAAATCTCGCGAGGAATCTTGCCGACTGGTTAACGCCGATTTAATTAATTGATTGCCTGCAGCGAATTTTCGGCAGCTTGAGTGCGCACTCGGTGCGCATTGAGGCTTGTTTACAGTGTATTCTTATTTTTAAGGATTCTCTTAAATACTTTTTCAAGTACTTCTTAGCCAGTAAAATAATTCGTGTAGCATTCGTACGGATAATTTTTTTTGTTAAATAGTTTTTGGACATGTACTCGAGAATCTCGAGATGACCATAAACATAATAGACTCTGAACAAGCCTTGGCTGAACAAATATAGACTACCTCACTCTTCTACAATCAATAGAAATTTTTTTTGTAACTCTAACTTAACTTCGTTACTTTCTCTCCATCTGTAACTTAACTCAACTATAGTAACTAATTTAATAGTTACATTAATAGTTACTCCACAAATTTACGTTTTGTGTTAAGTCAAAATTACGTCAGCGGCTGCGAATATGTTAATATCTAATGCTGCGCCTCGTTTTTAGATCTCGGTTACCGGCCACGTGTATTGGACCACCTTCGAAGACACGCTGAGTCAGAGAAACATAACCGTGATAAGACCGATCGTCGAAGTTCCCACGGAGAGACCGTCGGTTCGCCGGGGTACCTGCGTGCGAGACCGGACCCAAATGTCGCGGCAGGTCTTCACCTGCAGCGGCATCACCTCGATCGACGAGCTGGACGTCCTACCCCGCTCGGTCCACGCGATTCGCATCGTCCTCTCGAACCTGAAGACGATCCCGACGCGGGCGTTCGCCCGCTTCGACGGCTGGCTGTCCAGGCTGGATTTACGCGACTCCGCTATCGAGACGATCGAGCACCGCGCCTTCATCGACCTGTACAACCTGGAGCACTTGTCGCTACACAGCAACCACCTGAAATCGGTGACGTCCGAGGCAATGGAGGGCCTGACGAATCTGCGACACCTGGACCTCTCGCGCAATCACATCTACCGGATCCCTAACGAGCTGTTCGACACGCTGTCGCAGCTGTACAGCCTCGACGTGTCCGAGAACTACATGAACTGCCTCGGCGTGGAGCATATGGCGCGCAAAATGCCGCATCTCTATTCTCTCAAGGTGTCGGGCAATCCGTGGAGTTGCCTGTGCGGCACCAAGCTCGCCAGCTTCCTCGACTCCCGCAGAATACCATACGATCGTAACTCCCTGTTCGACGTGAACGACGACTGTTACGTCACCGGATTGCCGGCAAGGCCTCCCACAACGGCGGTGACCAGCCCGTGGACCACCACGACCGAACCACCTTCGATTAGTTTCTACAACGAGACCCTCGAGGGTTCCTGCGTCCGAATCCCCGAGTCTGCGGAGCCGCGGTACCGTTGCGTGGGCGCCAATTTGCTGAGACTGAAAAACGTGCCACGCGACGCTGTTTCCATCGAATTCCAGGAGGGTCATCTGCCCGTCCTCCCGCCCGGTTCTCTCTACAACTATCGACAGCTGCAGGAGCTGACCATAAGAAACTGCGGCCTAAGAACTATCTCGGCCGGCGCTTTCAAGGGCCTGGACTCTCTGGAACGGCTCACCATTCAGGGTAACCCGCTGACGTCGATCGAGGCGGACCGTTTCAACATAGAGCGTCTCGAGCGGCTGGATCTGCGCGGTAACTCGATCCAGTACATCGCACCGGGCGCATTCCGCCATCTGCGCAGGCTGGTCTATCTGAATCTCGAGGGCAACGATCTGCAGTGCATCTTCTCGAGCGATCTTCAGGATATGCCGAATCTGCACATTGTCGAATTCGCCGGCAACCCGCTCAAGTGGCGGTGCCGCATGGATCTGGAGCAGTTCCTCGAGACGCGGAAGATCAAGTTCGTCAAGGTGGAGAACTCGTGCGAAGGCAAGAAGATCATGAGGAACCTCCTCTACGAGAATCGGACCGTCGAGCTGGAATGTCCGCCGGGCTGCTCGACGGCGAGCAACATCGAGCTGGGAAAGAACCCGATGTTGTTCACGGCATTTTTACTGTTCGTCGCGATACATTAATCGTTCGGCAATCAAGAGTAAAGATTGGCCCGAGTTTAATTTATACAAAGAATAAATTAAACTTGGGCTGTCTTATCGATAGGCGAGATAGTTTCTGAGATTCATTTGTCAATGGGTCGAAAATTACGTTTGGATATTAAACAACGATATTTCGGTAAAGTTTACAGATTGAAGTGATTTTGATAATCAACGGAGTTGCTGAAAGCAAAGCTACCTTTGCAGTAGGCGAGGATAGATTTGGTATTGTTAATGTTGTCATTCAATGTGTTCATACCGTGAAAGCGCTTATAAACTAATAAATCGTATATTTATTTTTGCGAACGCACATGTATTTAAACTTAAAACCCTTCGGAGCCCTTGTAATATTAGATAACAATGTATACGTAGGATAACGCTTCTCGAGATACTCTTAGATTGTTAGCTCGCTTAGATTAATCTTTAGTACCTGTTTGTCGCACGCAGCATATAATTACGGATATCGTCGTTGTATCAGATACATCGCAATGAAAATGCGAAACAAAGTATCGATGAGAATTTGTACGGAAGAGGCAATCTCGACCAAATTTCTCGACTAACTTAATTGACGATTAATATGTCAATTGGTCGAGCTACTTGAAGCAAAGTTTCTAACAGCAAAAAATGAACAATTTTATCTACGCTCATAAAGTGGCATAGAAAAGTTGCTAATTGTATAATTCGTTCTCTCCAAACTATTTCTTTCTGTACGGTTATACAATGAAAATTAATAATATATCTATATTAATTAATAATTAAGTTGATCGGATGTTGGTTGATCAATTATACTGCCGGCAGGGACCATCAATAAGATCATCCCGGACAAATATGAACAAAGAAAATTACATTAGTAGAGTAATAGAGTATTCGACATTACGTTGTAAACGTACTGTATCAACAACAGTAAACACATTCACGTGCCATAAAGATCCATGCTAGTGCGACGCTGAAGTACTTGTTACTTGTGTTCATTTTAATATAAACAAATGTTTGTACATAATATATTTACCGTCAAGATTGTAATGGGCTATTTGCTACTAAGATTTAATAAGTCTTAATAAAGATTTATTTTGTGCAACAATTTATCAGTTTACTTTTACTCTACCTGGCTTTTTTATCTGTAATTAATTATGCCATTTGTTTTAATATTGCAATACAGCAAATTACATGAGTATTGATTGCGCTACTGTTTAATCATATGTTTATATTCATGTTAAATATGGGATCCTATCAAGTCGCCCGGCTAGCTCAGTCGGTAGAGCATGAGACTCTTAATCTCAGGGTCGTGGGTTCGAGCCCCACGTTGGGCGAAATTTTTTTTTCGCGTAATAATAAAATTTACAAATTATATATTAAAAAAGTTTGTCTAACACAAATTGTTTTGCCTATTAAATACAATTTAAATAAAATGCAAATGACAGTTTTATAAATATAAAAGAACAGACGTATGAAATCTATACAAAGATAGGAATTTTTATAAAATATATATGATTTACAGTTACACACAAATATAAAGGAATCTACGTGAAATATGTGCAAATGATTTTTTGTATATTGAGACAAAAAGGATGTGACTAGCAGAGCGTGGTTTCGATCCACGGACCTCTGGGTTATGGGCCCAGCACGCTTCCACTGCGCCACTCTGCTTGTTGAGGGGAGCCCTTTCTTAATATTTTATTTCAACATCACAGTAAATTTTCATTTAATCATGTACCAATTTAATTATAATTTGTCTCTTAAACCTTAAATTTAATAATGTAATTAAATTAATTTGACAGAAATGCTTCTTTCCAGCTATTTTTATACACATTATTTTTATTGTTAATATTAAACAATTTTTTATTGTTTTATATGCTTACTGAGTACGAGTTTAAGAGTACGTTTTAAAAATGTGCCACTGTGAAATTATCATTCGTCGTTACGAAGGAAATTTCTCGAGACATTTGTCCTTAAAATGTTTTCAACGAGAGTAAAAGATACCATGTTCTGTAGAGAATACTCTGCAGAACAAAAGGCATCATATTCTACAGAAAACATCCTACAGAAGTCGATATTTCACATACGGAAATTCGGAGATGCAAGACTAAAAGGATCTTATCTGCGGAAGATGAAAAATAAAGCACAACGAAAAATAAGATAACTGTAAAAGTCGTGAGACGACGTCGAACTGATAACGAAACTTTGATACGCGGTAATCTCGACAGTAGGAAATCTAAAAACGACGCGTGTGTAGGTATCCCGGACCGACCCGCTCTTTAAACGTCTCGTCTTTTTGTTCGTTCGAGAACCATTAGTCCTAGTTCATTGTCTGCGGCAACGTAAAAGGGTATGGCCGGTCCATTCTACGGTCGCCAATTGAAAAGCGACCATCGCCTCTCTTGAAATTACAAGAGAATGAGCAATCCTACCAATATAAGTCACCAGCCCCGTGACTCATGGTGCCGGCGAGGCTTCGACAGCGGCTCGACAAGCACGAACCTGCACGGTCTAGTCTACTCCGGCTGGGGAATGCCCGGTACCGGATGCCACGTGTGTGCGTATCGCCCGGCCCGGCGCGGACAATCGATAAAAAGACGCTAACAAAGCCGCGAAGGCCGCGCGAGCGTAGCGCACACACGTCAGACGTGTCCTCCTGTATACGCGCGGCGACGTCACAGGAGACGAATACTTGGCGAAAAATTCGCGCGACGAAATGTCTCATTCGCCGACCGATGTTCTCGCGCGTAGGGCGTCCTTATCGCATTCGTTATTCCATCGAAAGGAAAACCGGAGGTCGAAACTGACGCGACACCCGGGCGAATTATCGACACGAATGTGGAAAAGCGCGACCGTTCCTTTTTCGTTCGCCACGAGTGGACGAAGGCGACGTCGTTCGTTCGTTCGTTCGTTCGTTCGACGGCGTTTGCATCCAGCGAAATTACGCGACGCATCCGAGACACCGGCGAGTCTCTCTTTCTCTTTTTGAAGAGAGGCTCCAGATTCGCGCGCCCTTACGCGAACCCTTCGAGCCCGCTTGGCCAATGGGAGGTCGAGCTAAATAGCCGGAAATGGTCCGTTTGTAATTTGCAAACGGACAAGTCTAATGCGGGCGGAGATCGCGCTTACGATCACGATTGACGAAACGCCGGCTTGGGTAACGTTAACGTACGGGCCCGAGAAAGGGCGCTGCCACGCGTGCCGCTACAAGTTCGGAGTTTATGCCTTAAAGCGCGTGCATGCGTCCGCGAAAAATAAATAACGCATTAGCGGCTCCTTTTCCTCCCATCTTGGCCAATAAAACACAGATGGCGCCGGCAGTGCCGTTCGATACGCGCGCGACAAGAGAAGCCGCGCTTGCGATGTGCAGGACCCGCGGATTATCGATTCGCGCGGCGCGGTACGGTCTCGGGTTCCTCCTGGAGCGAGCCCGCGATAGACGTTTCCCTTTCAGCCGGGAGTCATTCCCGTCCGGCCTTTCCAGCTTCCCTATTCCGCCGCGAGTCGAACGTCAATCGCCGCGTTCGCCGACACACTCGCAGCTTGATTCACGTAGTACGACCATTGCGGTCGACTCCGCCGCGGCTGGCGACGGCCATCTTTTCCGAGGGAGTGATGCAATCGATGACACATTTCGCCCGCCGTACGATCCCGCGACGACGGCGTGGAAAAACGGGCTTCCCGGCGGGCCCGATCGCGACCCGCCGGAGATCGAAGTCCGAGGCCCGATGGCGGATCGGCGGCGCGCCTCCCCCGGGAGAGCCGCGCGGCTGTTCCCGCGGACTTTAATCCGCGGGTCGGGCGAAAGTCGCCACACAGCTGGTGAGAGCTATTTTGAACGGCGGCGGTGCGACGTTGCCACGTCGTTCCCACGTCGTCGTCGCGATCGAACAAGTTCAAACACGTGCCCCACCGTGTTTTGCTTGCTCGGCGGGTAGAGATAACCGTCGGGCGGGCGCGCGCGCGCGCGCGCGCGCGAGCGTGTGCGGCAAAACGACGGCACGGCGTTCTCGGCGCTTTTCGCTGAATCGCTCGCTCCCGCTGTTTTTAGGTCCTTTAAACGTCTCCGTGCCAACCGGGTCGGCGCGTTTCGCCCGGGAGATTTCAACCTCCCTCCGCCGAGCGACCGCGAGAGGGATCGTTACGAAAACGGGAGGGACGTGGGACGCGGTCGCGTGAAATTCGCGGCCGTCCGAGAGCGGACGGTATCGGGGGGGAAGCCCGAGGACACCGATTTCGAAGCGCGCGTTGGAACGTCCCCGGGAGGACCGGCGCACCCGATCGCCGAACGGCTTTCGAAATCGGCCTGGACAATTTTTCCGAGCGCGTCATCTTTCGCGCGGCGGGGACAATCGCCGGCCGCTCGAGCTGGACAAGAAATCAGGTTGCTCGCTCGCGGCGCAACAGCGAGAGAGCGCGGAGCGGAGAAGCGAGCGAGGGAGGGAGATAGAGCGCGAGGGGGGCGGCGAGGAAGGGAGACGGAGAGATCGGAGAGAAAGGAAGCGCGGCAACGTGGCGCGACTGCGTGAGCGGAGATGCGCGGCATGAATATAGCCGCGTTTGACGGGCCAGCGCTCGTCGACGGGGTACGGCGGGGCGCGGGGCGCGGGGCGCGGCGGCGGAAGCGCTTCGCGCGGGGCGAGGGACGCGCGGAAAAGTTTCCGCCGCGGTGGGGCCGCGGGGGGAGGGGAGCGCGCCGCCGGCTGGCTGCAGCCGCGCTCGCGCGCGCGCGCGCGACACGACTGAGGCAACCCGTGGTGTTACTTTGAGTAAGCCGCAGGGCTGCCTTTTGGAAATTTCGCTAAATCGTCTCCCTAGTCTCCTCCCCCCCTTCCGTTCCGAGCGTCCCGCGCGTGGACGTGTCCGCGGCACGCTCGTATTTTAATCCTTAACCTTAAACGCGCCTCGTTCGACTCGGCGAGCGGTCGGCTCGGCCAGCAGCCGCGCGCACTTCGCGACCCGCTGTCATTTGAGAAAAGAGGCTTGCACGAGTAGAAGAGTAAGACAGCACGGTGGAGGACGAGAGAGACAGAGAGACGGATCTTCACGTTTTAGCGTCGAGCCAACCGGAAAAAATGCGAGCTTGTGCGGAATTTCGCGGGTCGATCCTCCTGTTGCCACGCGAAAGTGGAGTATTTCGAATTAAAGAACAAAAGGAACGAATCGCGACGGGCTAACTTATCGATAAGTGAGAGCGTTCTCTTCTCGAGGGGCGACGCGCCTCGACGGTGATTCGAAATAAAGATCGGAAGCCGCGCTTAATCGGTAGATAAATAATTATCGCGGGTAAATCAATTCCGTGGGATGCGCGACCGCGCGCGCGCGCGCGCGCGTCTAGATTTTT